CAAGTAATCCAAACACCAACATAATAAATTAAATTGTTATCCTGACAACAAAGGAATCCATTGGGTTTAAAAGTAATATAGTGGCTACCCCCCCCCCCCCCCCCCCCCAAAAAAAAAAGAAAATAAAATCAGGATTTTCCCATGAACCTTTGCTGCCTGTGGCCTACCTACAGAAGACCCTCTTACAAGCAATCACAGCTGCGTGGGACGGGGCGGCTTGGGGGGGTTACGAGCCCACCCGGGTTGTGGTGGTCTTCTTGTCCGAAAAGAAGCTCCGGAGCAGGACCACCTGGCTGATGCTGACCACCAGGAGGATGATGGCCTCGCCCACGGACCAGAATGCCACCCTGGTGTTGAGGTCCTCGGCGCGGCTACGACCCTGCGCCTCCCGCAGGCGGAAGTGAGTCTGGTAGTCGATGACGGACTTCAGGGCCTCGTGGATGGAGACGCAGGCGGACTCCATCTGGAGAAGCAGGAGTGATTAATTAAGCTTTGGCCCCATGCAGAGGATACGGCTCCTGAAAGCCGCGGCAGTGAAGCCAGGTTGTGCCCCACGCCAGCACGATCACCAAGTGTGACATATGGCAGTCTCACTACACTCCATAAAGCGTAGCGTGCGTACTCCCAGCATCCTAGTTCTTTGTACTTGCAGATACCCTTAAAATGATGTTGAATAACGACTTACGAACATTTCAAGTTACGAACGGCCGTTTGGAACGTATCTCATTCGTAGAGGAGCGTCTGTACACTGCTAGCCATGTATCCCCGTGAGAAAAGTGCTCTTCTTTAAACAATGAATACTTTATGGGCCTGCACTGGTTAATTTGAAATACGAGTAATTTCCGGTGTAGCTCAATATTTATGAAGCCCCACCCTCCTACAAACATTATCCAAGTTCAGAGCAGCTTGGCTTTGTAAAACAATTCATTTTGCATCACCCAGATAGGTATATCCTTCTTGGTCAATCAAATCATTGCACAGGTCTACACACAGAATTATTTAAAGGCTTGGAAGAATGGAGTACGGTCATTCCATGTCAAATCATCACACTTTCGGCCCTTGTTGTCACAGATTTTAACGAAACTTGGCATGCCGATTTAGTCACATGAGTCATGAAACTGAAATTTTCCAGAGATGTTCATGACATTGAGCTAGTTTTAGTAAAAAAAAAAGATCAATTTTGAAATATAGTTTTTTTTTTTATATTGAATTTTTAATATTTTAATCAGTTATTACATAGTAATTATTCATATGGCGATGGCATTATTTACTCAATCTATAGACCTGGACAATAGCTTTAAAACAATATGAGGACCATTCCTGTGCAGCTTATATTAAAGTAAATATAGCCAGTCAAAATCATAGTCCCCACCCCCCAAAAAAGATAAAACTTTATTTGCTTAAATCTCCCTCAATATTGATCCAAGACACGCCCAATTTCAGTTTCATGAGTTTCACTCCGAAAGTGAGATGATTTGACATGGAACTGTACAACTACAAATGATCCAGTAATAGTCTTACACTGTTTAAAATTAAGACTTTTTAGTTGAGGCCAAACCAAGATTCTGGTTCAAAACTGGAATAAATCAGCTTCGGCTTCAGCATACACATACCTGCGTTAAAGCTGTGACTCTGTTCTCATTGGGGAAGAGAGGGGGATCATCCCCAACCTGGAAGTCGAAGTAGACCGTCTTGTGGGTGAAGGTGGAGAACTCATTACTGAAGCAGAACTTGAATGTTCCGTTCTTCCCTGCTGTGAATGTGAAACTGTCATATTGTTTCTTCATTTCTTTGTACAGGACTGTTCCGTCTGGGTCCTCCAGGCGACAGTCAACATCATAGTGTCCACCAGTCACCACCTGGAGAGAGACATCTTGTTTTAAAGCAAAGCCGGCATATAGGAAGTCCTACCATCTACAGCCGTTCCACTACTTCAGTGGGCTCCTCTTTTAGGTAAAATATTTAATTTTACATTAATGATTTAATTAAAATAACACCTCAGCTATGTCTTACAAGTACCTGCGCTAGCAATAGCCTTAAGTGGTGTGTGGTTCGGGGGGTTAGGATGCTGTGCTTGTGATTGGAAGGTTGCTGGTTCAAAACCCAGGATCGGCACAGTGATTACACTGTCAGGCTCCTGAGCAAGACCCCCCCCCTCCCCCCTCCCCCCTCCCCAGGAACTGCCTGACCCTGCTTTCTCAATTGTATATTGCTTTGGATGAAAGCATATACTAAATAAATAAAATAATTTATCACTGTTTTTCATGCAGTCATGTTTGTTAAAAGTAAATGGACTTTAAAATGTGCAACTGCAAAATTTAGGGATGCAATCTGAAGCTGATCCTTACATTTGGCAGCACTAAATCTATGGACAAAAGACTAAAGATGACTGGGCCATACAGTAAATACTGATCTAGAACAAAAAAAAAGACAGATGCAGAAATGCATCTGTGTATAAACATATATACACAAATTGAGCTTACCATTTATATACATATACACACATATACAACAAGAAATAATGGTGAATTGTCGCCTTCTAAACAGCCTTGTTACCACACACGCACGAAGTACTGGCCAGTCCGAGTAGGTAACTAATGAGAAACGTTTAGGAAGCAGCTTAGTACCTGGAACTCCAGGGTGCACTTGGTGCCGATGATGATGTCTTCATGGAAGCACTGCTTGGCGTTGTCGGGCAGCTCGAAGGTGAGCTCCGAGCCATACGCCCACCCAGCGAGCAGCTGCAGCCACAGCACCCGCACCAGCACTCTCACCAGGCGAGAACGGGCGCACGACATCTTCAGTGCTGGTTCAGAGTATCTACACACCGTGCGGGGGGAAAAAACACAGCACGACTGGTCACTTTCACACACTTATTCCTAAACTAGTTAAAGCAAAGCAAGAGGCACCTGTGCAAACCTGGATATACCGGCCTCACCGGCCCGACGCGATTAGCGGCGAAGATAAGATAACTTAGGCGAAAGAAATAAGGTTTTTAAATGTGCTACTCTGCTAACGTATGTTTTTACTCGTCATTAACTAAACGGAGCATATAAAGAACGTATCCTGAATTAAGCTATGTCTGATTTATGAGAAATAATCGTAGAACAAAAACGGTCCCACTGTCCACTCACCTCCAATCTGTGACCCGGATAAAGGAAGTTGATTCCCTCCTGCGTGGCAAAGGATTGGTGGCGCGAATGACGTACTACCCCGGAAGTGATAACCGACTTTTTTTTCTTTAAATTTTTTTTTTTAAATCAACACCCAATACAGTTATCAAACAGAACTATGCAAATTGTAAACAGTATACCACAATTATGTGCTAAGTTTCATACAAGATTTATACCTTGAAAACTAAATTAAACAAAATATATCACCATCACTACAAAATATAGGTATATTACTCATCTGCTTTTTATTTACTCACCCATATGCTATTGAATGTTTGTTTCCATCCCCCCATCACAAGCCACTATCTCATTTTATCCATGGCACAAACACCAAGTCACTTTTCATAACCACTTGCACTAATTATCTGTTATTTTATTATATCTATTATAGTTATTTGTTAGATTTATTTTGTTATTCTGTTTTTGCACTATTACTACTGTTCTTTTTAAGCAAAAACTCAGGTGTGGGAGGAGTTTGGTGGGGCCATGGAAAGTGACTTTCGGTCAGCCTCAAAAAGGTTCTGCCACACCATCTGGAATATCAGGAGCGGGAAGCAGCTCCTGGTTCCTACTACTTATAGTGGGGAGGCCTCACCTGAGTTGACCTCACCTGGGGACATCACCTGGAGGTGGAAGGAATACTTTGAGGACCTCCTCAA